GGGGGGGGGGACACGTGAGTGTTGCGCGAGCTCTTTTGTCGTAATGTCAACTAGCGCCGGAATTTAAATATCGTTCTTTTCTTTTCAGCGATGCGTAACACGAACACGCGTGGAGGCTTACACAGAGAGATATGTATACATATACATATATGTATATATGTGTACATACGTATGAGTGGTTCCGTTTTACAAGAAGCTCAAGCACTAGTTGCTGCACATCACGCAAAAACAGACGCACACGTACACACGCGCGCGCGTGCGCGCAACGCACGCATACCGAAAATGCACGATGCAGAGATATGCGCGCGGCTACTACATGAATGTGTGAATGAAGAATGACGCATGAGACGACAGATATGATGAATAATATGATTGCGATAGTGACGACAACGAGATTGGCTTTTGATTAGCGCAACCATCATCGTGAAACGGAGAGCCGCGAGAATTTTCGATGAATATATATATATATATATATATGTATGTGTGTGTGTGTATGTGTGTAGGGAGAGAGGGGGAGATAGAAGGATGAAGAGAGAGTCGATGTAGGAGTGTGAGGACGGGCTGCTTATTGATTTTGCACGAATATTACTCGTTCTCAATATAGATACATGGTAATTGTATCGATTCTAATTATAACTAGGAATTTTCTCCGGATTTTCCGAAATCCGAGTATCGACGATTCGCGACCAATTAACACGCGTGCACTAATTAAAACTAGTGCGGCGGGCGGGCAAAAATTAGCGACTGAAGAGTGCCGGTCGAATGCAACCTGCGGTTTTGTTCAATGGCCAATTGGTAAAATTTTAATATCGTAAAAGGATATATCTTTCCGCCTGATACGAATATACGTAATTGATGTGTGACGCGGCACGCGCGCATAATAAATGTATCTCGATTTATCATTTATTACGCGTCTCGTTAAGCCGATTGAACATTCGTACAGCTTTAAGGTGGACAATGAGTTTTATCATGTTTATAAAACTGTATGCTTATTGGGGTTGCCATCACTTCAGGTGACCCGGACACGGGTTGAAAATGTTCCATCTCGATCATGACCGATAATACGAAAAACGCAAAATTGATCGTGCGATGTATGAAAAAGGTTACAAGACACACATGTCGTCGTGAAAATCGACTCGCACGCGTGTTTCTCTTTGGGGAAAAACATACTTCCATGACAGNGGGGGGGGGGGGTGCAAAACGAAACTCAGTGACTTACGTCTAGTCCGAATCGTGCGACGATCACAACGTTAAGCTGCGTCGTCTTCGAGTGTCCCGGGGGATCGAACGCACGGGAATTGAAATTGGTTGACCGTGAGATCATGTTTGAGAACGCGTGGCCCGTTGAACTATTGGTACACGAATATTTTATCCGTTTTCAGCACTGTGTTTATTCCAGCACCGTGTCGGCAAGTAGCTTCCCTTTGACAGAATGTCGAACATACCCTGTTCAAGCATGACGAAGAGCCACACGTTCTCGAGTCGGCCGCTCAGGAGGATCGCGTATTCACGAATTATGTCAAGTGCGTCGTTTGAGAAGCGGAAGTTCTTTTGACAAGAAGCACGCGGACGCCCAGGGCAAAACGCAGAAAAGAGATGGATATATCGTGAAACTTGCTTATTCTCCACGCGTATACTTGTGGTAAAAAATCACAAACGACATGCCAGACGTAAAATAATAAGAGAAATCACGGATTCACGATTTAATTTACTACATTTCGCGAGTTTCGGCCCGGAATTTTTCAGAAACGACCCGACTATCTATTGACATGTCAACGACTCGACCGAAATGAAAATGTCTCTCAACAGCGTACTTTGTGATACGATTAAAGCAATGATAATAATTCTAAGCTACGTCTAGTACGTGTATCGTAGAGTATCGCACCGCTTTACATATTTCCCTTATTTCTAAAGCATTCCTCTGAGCGTCCATGCGAATAGGAATTTTCTCGTGTACAGGCGTATAAGCGAACATATTGATACGTATTACTCGCACTTGAAAACTTTTATCGCCAAGTAGAGATGTCACGCATAGAGAAAGAGAGGGAGGGAGAGAGAGAGAGAGAGAGAGAGAGAGAGAGAGAAATTGAACGTGGAATTGAAAAAAAATTGATAGACGCGAAAGTCCGAATAGAGTCCTACTTTTCAGCGATGGCATATATAGGTAATAGGAGTAAAGACAGTAATAGGCATGTATGTGTGTGTGCGTGTATGTATATGTATGTGTGTGCTTATGCGCGTGTTGTATGTTTCTGTGTGCATAATGTATATATATATATGAAGATAATAATTATATATATATACGCATAGCCGTCTAACTACAGCAGTCCAATCACACCAGATCAAGTGGCGGTACTTACTAACACTGGCAGAGGCCTAATCCTGAACAACTAGAGTGTTGAGGAAACAGAAAAAAAGGAAGATCAATTAATTAATACGTTCAAAGTCGCACCAAGCGTTAGTAACGGATTAATCGGAGCCCGCCGCGCGCCACGTCGCGCGGGAAGGCGGAAATAAAGTGATAAAAATGACACAATCAACGATAAAAGAGCACCTACGGTTGGGTCGCACGCGTCAACGCTTCCGAGATGCACGGTGCGCATTGCTGTGTGTGGCACATGCAGGCTTTACTAGATCCTCGTACTATTAGACAGATGATTCGTACCCTCGACGGCTACGAGAGAGAGAAAGAGAGAGAGAAAGAAAAAGAGAGAGAGAGAGAGAGAGAAAGAAAGAGAGGGAGGGAGAGCGCGTTGGGCTTTCACGTATAATCTACGCGCAGGATATTCGAGAATAAACCGACTTGAATACACGCTATAATCTCGGTGAATTGAATTCTCGACGCTGCGGCTACGAAAAAAATCAATTTCGCGTCCTCTGCTACGTTTTCGTTTCGAATGTCTCGCAACGAAAAAAGAAATGGAAAACAAAAGGACAGAATAAACGCAGAGGTCCTCTCGCGTTCACAGCATCGAAATCTGAGCTCGTTGAAATTATCGTCCGCTATTTTCGGGAGAGATGCTTCGTTCGATACCATATGATTCGCAGTGTAGCGTTCTCCGCCGGATCAGCGATATCATCGGATCTCGGCATCTTCATCTGTTAATACGTGATAAGAGTTAATGTCCAGCCGATGCTGGTATCACACATTCCGTTATTCGAGAGATTTCGCGACCGACAACACCGCAGGAAGAGAGAGAAAGAAATAGAGAAAGACAGAAGCAAAGAGTNGGGGGGGGGGGAGGGGGAGACACGGCACTTGTCGGTATTTGAAGATACCGATCGACGGATGGCTCCCACAGACTCGCACCTTGCGGAAATGAGTCGCAGGCAACGGTCTTATAAATTACGAGCTCCGTTGATCCGCGTTTAGCAACGTATCGCTGATGCGGCGCAGAGTGCCGGAGTATCACTGACGTGCAATCTAATTAAATCGGCTGCAAACGGCAAGCTTTGTTATTATTGCCCTCCTGTTTGGATCCCCGGTACAAAACGGCCCAGATACCGTGCGCGTAGATTATTGTTGTTTACTCGTGCACGCCCGACACCTGCTGCGACTGTGCGAAGTAATTTCGAGCTCGCAGCTCGGCGACACGTGGTCTGATGAGCGTGAGCGCGTAAGTGCGAGTTTCGAGCGTGAACTCTCGATGCGTTCTATCGATCGGGCGGAATCGAAGCGGACCGGTACAAATTAGTCGCATTCTAATGGCTCATGACGGTGTGGTGGTCCTCGTGTTCTCACGCGGACGTGAGGTTCCCCTCGTGCGTGTCGGAGAAGAAGGAGGAAAGAAGAAGTGAAACAGTTCGAAGCGGGAGCAAGCTGGCGGAAATACACGGTGGTTTCACCTACGGTCGTAAAATCCGGTCGTAAAGCCCGCGATTAGATCGTCGTCCGCGGTTTCCACGAAGACACGTGCGACAGCTCTTCAAAGTGCTTCGATCTTTCACGAATCTCAAGGCGCGAAAGATCGGACGGAGCCCGTCGTTGAGCCGACGAGACGCTCGCAAACTTTCCGCGAGTGACACTCTTCTAATGTTTTTCGACATCGAGTGACTTTTTATCTATGTTCGCGGTGACTTTATCGTCGCGCTGCGGCCTCATTAGCAATCGCTTTTG